TGGGTTTTAGTTGGTGCTTCGGGTTTGGTTATGGGATTTGTTAATAGCAATAGGTTAATTTCAGTCCAATTATGATTAGGAGTCCCATCAATGAAGTTAATAGACCCCTTCATTTTTAAGGAGACCCAATAACGACGGTAGTAGGATCAAATCAACGAAGGGATTAGAAATCCGTTATCCCATATCACATTATTTCTCTATTATTTGAAATCACTCCACGAAGGGTTTAAAACTCGTCGTTATTATATACCCATTAATGACGGTCAACTGGTCCCTTCACTAATTTTGGTCGTTAAATATCAAATTTCTTATAGTGCAAGTTTTGATCTAATTTGTGGTGAATTTCCTACTTTTCTACTTTCAACACAAGGTCTGGAAAGGGCAAAGATTCGATTGATTGTTTCGAATCCCCAACAAATTCAACATTGTGTTCCTGATAATATGATGGGTTCTCTTCAAAATAAGCAAGCGATTATTCATCACAATCACAGCCAGTATATCTCAAAACTATATCTACAAGTTATAACAGCAAGCAGATAAACCTCAAACAATGACCAAGTCAATCACCAGCTATGACAACAAACAGATAAACCTCAAATCACAAAAAAGTAAAAACACATGCAAAAAAAATGTCCTTCAAAATCCGATCCCATCAAAGTGCAAAGTCTGCAATCAATGTCAAATTTTGGGGAATTTCAAATGAGAGGTCAATCGAATTGGGAATAGCTAAGAAATTTATGAAGAATTTTGCTCTTGATGTGGGGCGACAAAATTCTCAGCACTAACGAATGAGAGAGTGATAAATTTGGAATTTGGAGGAATACATCGACTCATGGTGAAGAATGAAAAGTACATTCTATGAAATACTGAAAAGGTACTAATTTGGGAATACTTACAAGCGTTAAGGACTTAGTAATAAATTTATAGTTCAGTCGGTTTTGGCTTTTTTTATGGAACCGAACCTAACCAAGTCAAATTCAAAATCGAAGCAGACTGAAAGAAGTCAGTCTAATACAGTTCAGTTCGGTTCGATTTGTTTGGTTATAGACGTGTCAAGTTAAAGTCTTTTTAGTTAAAAGCTAACACTCTTACTCTTTCAAACCTTTTAATAATTTCAAATCCCAAATTTAAGAGCAAGTTCGTCAGATTAACTATTTTACAAACTAAAATTAAACTTTAATCATTTCAGATATATAAAATTATCAGTATTAATAATCTTTTTTTACCTTTTAAAGAGCATAGTTTTAGGCAATTATGCTAAAACCAACAGATTTGATTATTTTGGCTTCATATAGTTTTAAATTTGGATTGAACCGCTGAAATTTTATTGGCTCGAACCGTGTATTCGGTTCATACCAAATAGTGCTCCCTAATTTAGATTCCTTTTTCTAGAACTTATACGCGAGGAATAAACTTAGACTAGAAAACAATTATTATATGTTGAAGGATAATAATTTTAAAATATCTATGATTTGATTGAAGAGAAAATAAAGAAATTAAGAAAAATAACTGGTATCGCGTCAAATAAGGTCCAACCGTCCAAGTCCGGTTAGGGGATGTTTGGTTAAATGAAGGTGACTCGAATGTGTGAAAGTCACTAATTTTTGCAAGTGTGAAAGTGGATCCATGTCAACATGAAAGTAAAATGCAATGTTTGTTTGTAAAAATAAATTAATCTTAGAACTAGGAAAATAAAAATGATGTGGCAATTATTTATTTATTTGTTATTTAAATTCATATTACACTCTAAACTCTAATAATTATTCTGGCAACAACTAAAGAACGAATTGAAAGCCTCATGTATATATATCATCAATTACTTGTACTAATTTTTATAGATTATTTGTATTTTGTATTTTTTTACTTATGTACTTTATGTTTTTTTAATAACGTAATGGCTTATTAAATGCCTAGTCATGTTATAAACGTACAACAATCACGCTAAAAATGTAGTCATGTTCATAAATTATCTAATTCGTACTATATACATGACATAACAATGTACACAATTATTAAATGCTATAAAAGAAATAATATAATTAGCAGGTAAGAAAATTTTTGGGGGAGGTGGTTGTTTCTAGCGAATAACATGGGAAAATATGATAAGATAAATAATAAATATACTAATTAATTAGGAGTGGTCACCATTTTTTTCTCACTTTCACTTGACTTCAGAGTACTTTTTTAGAGGAACTTAAACATGCATTAGAGCTGACGTGAACTCATTTTAACATTTCACTTTTAAAATTATTTTTAATAAAACAAACACCAAAAATTTTAAAATCATCACTTTCACACTTTTACAATTCACTTTCGTAAAAACACACACCCCTTATCCTTGGGTTAAACCACCGCTTGAGTTTGGGGCCTACAAACAATGATGCGAGATGTGGTGAGGCGACTTCGAGCTCGCCTGTCGTGTGCGCGGGGCTCGAGGTTCTTGCGCGGCGTGGCCTGTCATGTGCGCGGCTCGAGGTGATCGCGGCGTGGAGAGGAAGCCAGCTGGTGCCAGCTGGAGGAGGAGATCGCCTAGGGTTTCCCTATAAAAGGGAAACCCTGTTCTCGAGCGGAGGGGGTGGAGCGAGCAGCGGAGCTTCTCTTTCTCTTAGCGGTGGCAGCTTTGTCTCTCTCCGTTTGAGCCTCATTTTTGTCCCTGTTCTCATTTAAGGAGAAGGGGTTGGTGACATTAAATTGGGGATTTGAGTTACATAGAGAGAGAGAGATTTGAGCAGTGGTTTATATTTAAACACTGCAGTTGATTTGAGGGATCTCAAGAATTGGGATTTTCTCTATTGTTTGTAATTTCTTGTGATTAATAAGAAATTATTTGTGCCGCTCCCGTGGACGTAGGCAAATTGCCGAACCACGTAAAATATCTGTGTTTGTGATTTGCTTGTCATATTTGTTGGATTGTACCCGAGTTGGGTTTGTTAATTTTCACCCGTGCTCACGGACTCGTTCGGTGTGCGAGCACGCTTCCGCAAAGGCGCGCAACAAAACTATAATCATTGATCTTCATCATAACTTCGGAGTTATGGTCTAATGGTTGGAGGAACCAAATTTAATAGAAAATGCATGTTGAGACAACCATTATCACAAATAACAACTTACAAACAGCGCTTCACTTCACATACTCAAAAGGAACATAATTCCAGTATAGTGTTTGTTATGCCCCGGACACACATCACCCAAAATAATGTTTCAGTTGCTCAAATATGAACACTTCCATTCACAAATAGAACCACATGCACACATTAAGTTACCTCGTCAATGCTGTGTTCTTCCTTCATTTTCCCCAATTCAACATTGTGTTCCTAATAATATGATGGGTTCTCTGCAGAATCAGCAAGTGATTATTCATCACAATCATAGCCAGTATATCTCAAAACTATATCTACAAGTTATAACAACAAACATATAAACCTCAAACAATGACCAAGTCAATCACTAGCTATGACAACAAACAGATAAACCTCAAATCACAAAAAGTAAAAACACATGCAAATAAAAAAAATGACCTTCAAAATCCGATCCCATCAAAGTGCAAAGTCTGCAATCAAAGTCGACTTTTGGGGAATTTCAAACGAGAGATCAATCGAATTAGGAATAGCTAAGAAATTTATGAAGAATTTTTCTCCTGATGTGGGGCGACAAAATTCTCAGCACTAACGAATGAGAGAGTGATAAATTTGGAATTTGGAGGAATACATCGACTCATGGTGAAGAATGAAAAGTACATTCTATGAAATACTGAAAAGGTACTAATTTGGAAATACTTGCAAGCGTTAAAGGACTTAGTAATAAATTTATAGTTCAGTCAGTTTTGACTTTTTTTTAATGGAACCGAACCTAACCAAGTCAAATTCAAAACCGAAGTAGACTGAATCAAGTCGGTCTAATGCGGTTCAGTTCGATTTGTTTAGTTTAGTTATATACGTGTCAAGTTAAAGGCACTGTTTGGCAACAAGAGATTGTGTCTTATCTAAGAAATTGTGTCTTATTGACTTGGTCAATAAGCTAGTAGAGCTGTTTGGTGACCAAAAATAGGAGGGGATTATTTTGAAGATTGTGTTTTTTGCAAGTAGCTTTTGGAAAGCTATCTCAAGTAGTGTTTGTCTTTGGGAATGAGCTGCCAATTTTTTTATTTTGTTTTTGCCCCTGATAATTCTAATTTTATATCAATAATATTGTATGTCTTTTTTAGTCATTTAACAAATTTAAGCTAGTTTTACAGCTACTTTTGCTAAACAGCTCTAATCAATCAACTAGCTACACAGCTATCGGCTTTCAGCTATAATTTCACAGCTTTCAGCTAGCTTAACAGCTTTCAGCTATAATCTCGCAGTTTTGAGCTAGTTTTGCCAAACAGAGCCAAAGTCTTTTTAGCTAGAAGGTAACACTCTTACTCTTTCAAACCTTTTAATAATTCCAAATTCCAAATTCAAGAGCAAGTTTGTCAGATTAACTATTTTACGAACTAAAATTAAACTTTAATCATTTTGGATATATAAAATTATCAGTATTAATTATCTTTTTTTTACTTATAAAGAGCATAGTTTTAAATAATTATGCTAAAACCAACAGATTTGATTATTTTGTCTTCGTATATTTTTAAATTTGGATTGAACCGCTGAATTTTTATTGGCTCGAACCGTGCATTCGGTTCATACCAAATAGTTTTTAAATTTGGATTGAACCGCTGAATTTTTATTGGCTCGAACCGTGCATTCGGTTCATACCAAATAGTGCTCCCTAATTTCGATTCCATTTTCTAGAACTTATAGGTGAGGAATAAACTTAGACTAGAAAACAATTATTATTATTATTATATGTCGAAGGATAATAATTTTAAAATATCTATGATTTGAATGGAGAGAAAATAAAGAAATTAAGAAAAAGAACTGGCATGGCGTCAAACAAGGTCCAACCGTCCAAGGCTAGTTATCCTTGGTTAAACCACCGCTTGAGTTTGGGGCCTACACTACAAACAATGATGTGGAGAAATGGGAATTTCAATCCCAATTAAAAATCGTTATTTCCCTATATAACTGCGATTATTATTATTATTATTATTATTATTATTTTGAAGAAATCAATTTGTTTTTTTAACTTCTTTCCTCAGCGGTTTACAAGGGTTTCTTATTGCTTTGCATTTTTTCCCCTCGTCTATTGATACTCATTTACTGCGAAATTTCAAGTAAGTGGCTGCTTTCTTCTCTTCCATTTTACCTTTTAAAAAAAAAACTCTGAAAACAAAGTTGTGGGTTTTGATGCAGGAGGAAGAAGAAGCTGGTTGGATGCTTTCTGCCTGGTTGCTGAATCCTCTTTAAAGGGTAATCTCGCATCTTCTTCTTCTTCTTGTTCATTTCGATTTTTTCGGGGGAAGAATTAATGGGTCCGTTGTTTTTCATTTGGGTGTACTGGATTCTTGTTAGATTTCTTTGAGTCCTGCAATTATAATTTTGGGAAAACCCATAAAATTTATGGTTTTATTTTAGAAAGAAACACTTAATTTCAAAATGGGGTTGTTGTAGAAACAGCGAAAACATTGGAGAATATCAGGAAATTTGATGTAGAAAGGCATTTGGGTGCTTGCCGGTCGACCGCAAGCTTTGGCGCGGTCGACCGCAAACGTGCACGACTACATGTTGTTTTTTTGGTTTTTTGGTCAGTCGACCGAGGCGTCAAGTGCGGTCGACCGTGGACCCTTTAATTTATTTTTTTGATTTCTGACGTTCTGTCCGGTCGATCATGACGCTTTCGACGTTCGACCGCTAGTCGAGTTTGTGCCTGAATGCGGTTTCCTGTTCTGTTTGGGATTGTTGTTTGGTATAAATTCAAACACACGTTTTAGGGTTTCTTTGTGATTGTTTTTGGGATTATTAGAGCACAGAAAAAAGAGATCTTCCTGAGCTATTAGTTAGGATTATTGTTTGATAGATTGAGAGTTTTGTTGGTGAGATTAGTTGGTTTGTTTTAAGTGATTTGTAATCTCAGTTTGTACTCTATTTCTCTATTAGTGAAAATCCATCCCCTACTTGCTCCGTGGACATAGGCAATTTGTTGAATCACGTAAAAATTGATTGTTTGTGTTTGTGACGTTATTTTGCATTGTTTGGCTTTCTCTCTCGACGTTTGTGTTTGGTTCCTCGAAGCACAACGATTGGTGGCTTTCGCGCACAACAAGTGGTATCAGAGCTAGGGGTGTTATCGGAGCGGATACGGTTCGGATATGACACTTACCATATCCATATCCGCTTCTTATAAACGGATACGGATACGGATACGGATCATTCTCGGTAAGAAAAAATACTAACCATATCCGCACTTATCGGAAACGGATACAGATCGGATATTTGAGAATCGGATCGGATATGATCACGGATATAAACGAATATTCACGTATAATTAGAATTACAACCAAATAGGTAAATGTATGTGGTTGTAGGCTTCTCTTTAATTCACATATAATTAGAATTACTAAAATTGAGCACAAATCTATTAGACATAATCTTCATCCAAAACCTTCAGTAGCACAACCAATGACACAAACATTTCACAAGACGACCATAACACAACATTTCACAAGAGGACTAAAGTTCATACAACCATGACACAATAAGTTTATACAACCAACTAAAACAATAGTTCAGACAACCATGACAAACATTTCACAAAAAGAGAACTGAGTCAACTGACACTACTCTTGAATCAACAGCAAGCAACATTTGAACAACTTCTCTGCTACGTCCTTGTAGACCCGTCCGTGCTGAGCCATCTGACACTACAAAATGTCTGATTCCCCAGATACTTACCTGCACAGGGTAATTTATTAGTTTAACCAAATGTTTGATATAGTGCCTTATTTCACATGCTTGATTTTTGTTCCATGACTTCAGAATACATATACAAACACTAGAATGAACAATCACCATTTCACAAGCTCAACCCCCCATTACAGCAAGTACAAGCAACTAAAAAGGTTCTCCAATAAACACAAAGCCAAAAACTCTATTATTACCAAAATTCTCAACTCCTCATACAAAATGAACTGAGCAAACATACCCAGATGCTAAATTCCACCCAGCAAGCAAATCCAACATGACACGCTCAAAGAACTAAAAGATTCACACATGCCCACATGCCAAATTCACCAAAGGTAGCAAATTAAACCTTGGGAAAATAAATAGTCCAACTATTTTCACACGCACAGATGCTAAATGCAATTAAAAACCCCAAAACCAAGAAATGAAATCGTAAAAAGCTTACATTGTTTCCTTTCCAAACTTCATAGACTCGCTTAGCCATTGAAAAATCGAACCAGCAATCGACCTACGCTGGAAGAAAATCGAATATTTGGAACTCACGCATCCTACATCGCCCTCTCGATTGCAATAGGGTTTTGATTGAGCTCTTAACTTGGAAACAGCCAAGCAAAAGAAAAATTTTAGGGGTTTTCTTTTTCTTTTGGGCTTTTCATTTTAAAAATCCAAAGTTTCACGTTGATTTATTTCTTTTGGGCTGAGGGAGGATATTTTCGGCTGTGAGATCGCTGGCGAACGTCTGTGAGATCACTGGTGAATCGCTGGCGAACGGCTTGAGACTGGAGAGAGAGAGAGGCGGCCTAGGGCTGGAGAGTGGAGGCTGCATGATGGCTGAGGGAGTGAGGGTGAGGGCCTAGGGTTTTTTCTTTTTATGTTTTGGTTTTGGGTTAGCGGGTTTGTAACTATAAATTTGGGACCTGATTACCCGAATCACTATTACATTACGGATATCCGTATCCGCAACCCTCATATCCGTTACCGAATCCGTATCCGAAAAAAAATCCGAAACCATATCCGTATCCGTATCCGTATCCGCCCGGTTTCAAAATTAGCCTACCATATCCGTATCCGTTCGGATACGGATGCAGATCGGTTCGGATATATCCGAACCGTTTGGCACCCCTAATCAGAGCACATTTGTCACATCTAGGAAACCACAATCAGGATATTGTCACATCAAGTGGTATCAGAGCACATTTGTCACATCTAGGAAACCACAATCAGGATATTATCACATCAAGTGGTATGAGAGCACATTTGCCACATTTGTCACAACAAGTGGTATCAGCATATTGTCACATCCAGGATGTGAGATTTGATCCGAGTATATATTTAAAATTCAGATGCGTGTTTGATTATCAGGTATTGCCTTCTGATTTTATTCTGAGTAGGTATGTTATATTTGACTCTCGACAGGTGTAGAGTGTTGTTCAGATCGTTGGGATATCACAGCAGGTGGAGAGTGATACTACTCCACGTTGGGTGGGGATTACTCCACATATTTCAGATCATACTGCATCGTTTGAGATTCCAGCTGAGGTGATAGATTTGGGATCATGTTGATGTGGATGCAGATGATGAGTTGGTTGATTCGAGTGTAGTTGGTGGAAAATCCATATAGCCGTTGGTTCACCTCAGGTGGAGGCGTTTGGTTTGTTTCACTTTAGGGTCATTGGGAGAGCTGTTAGTCGCAAATTTTTTGATGAAGAGTTGAGAACTCTTCTATTGGATTGAGGACCTTTGGAGGTCATTTGGGTGAACTACGTGAATGCTTGGTTCATTAGGCAAAAGGATACGTAAACAGTCATTTATGATGCAGCCGGTTTGGTGAGTTGATACCGATATTTAGAGTTTGTTCGTATTCTCGTTTGGGTTCTTAACTTGTTGTGGATTGAGTCTGTTATCATAAATTTGTTTCACTTCGTACTGGACGCAACAAGTGTGACATTTGATTTGGTTGGTGTTGGCTCAGTTTTGAAAAAATTTCGCCTAGATGGAGAATTATAGAAATGGTGAAAACATTAAAGAAGATCAAGAAATTTGATGCAGATAGGCATTTGGGTGCTTGCCGGTCGACCGTGAGTTTTGGCGCGGTCGACCGCAAACGTGCAGGACTACATAGTATTTTTTCGGTTTTCTAGCCGGTCGATCGTGGCGTCAAGTGCGGTCGACCACGGACCCTGTAATGTATTTTTTTATTTCTGTAGTTCTGTCCGGTCGACCACGACGATTTCGGTGGTCGACCGTCAGTTGGGTTTGGGAATGATTGTGGTTTCCTGTTCTGTTTGAGATTGTTGTTTGATATAAATTCAAACACACGTTTTAGGGTTTCTTTGGGATTGTTTTTGGGGTTATTAGAGCACATAAAAGAGAGATCTTCCTGAGCTATTGGTTAGGGTTATTGTTTGAGAGATTGAGAGCTTTCTTGGTGAGATTAGTTGGTTTGTTTTGAGTGATTTCTAATCTTAGTTTGTACTTTGCTTCTCTATTAGTGAAAATTCATCCTCTACTTGCCCCGTGAACGTAGGCAACTTGTCGAACCACGTAAAAATTGGTTGTTTGTGTTTGTCCGTTATTTTGCATTGTTTGGCTTTCTCTCTCGGCGTTTGTGTTTGGTTCCTCAAGCACAACGATTGGTGGCTTCCGCACACAACAGTTGTCTTGCCGTATGATTTGTTTTGTTTTTTATTGAAGTTTGTGCTAATAAAACTTTGGTTGAATGTTAAAATGTACTTGACACAAAAGGTTGCAGCTGTTAATGTGGCAATTTGGGGTTCTTTAGTTCTATTCTTGGTTCAAGGCTTCAAGTTTCATGCCACACATGTCATAGTTGTTGACATATTAGTATTAGTTAGGGACTTATTTGTAAGTTGTGTAGGGGCCTATATAAAGCCCAAGAGATCTCATAATGAATTAAGGGTTTTCAATTCAACTTGGTATCAGAGCTAACCCTAGCCGCCAAAGCCCGCGCCGCCATCCCCCGCCCCACCCTGCAGATTGTTACCGACCACCTGCAGAGCAGCCCCGCCTTCCGCCTCCTGCAGAGCAGGCCCCCCTCTTCCGCCCTGCCTGCAGAGCAGCCCCCACCCCTCCGACTCTGGCAGAGCAGGCCGCCCCTCCCCGCGCTTGTTCCGGATCACGCTGCAGCGACCCAGCACAACCAGCTCCTCCGACCCAGCCTGCAGATCCACCCACGCCTGCGGCATTCCGCCCACATACTAGATCCCTTCCCTTCCTGCTCTTGTAGTTCCAGCCCCCTCTTCCCCTTGCCCTGTTCCGACCCCCTGTCCACAATCAGCCCACCTCTGTTCCCGCCGACCAGCCCCTCCGATCAGCCCCTCCGACCTCCTTAAACCTCGACGAACCAACCCGAACAGCCGCCCCTTGCTGCGCTATGCCGGACCTCGAGTTTGGCATGGGTTCCCTCGACTCAGTCCTCGAACTGATGACAGGAAGAGTATATATCTCACAGCGATGAGATATATCACTGTTTTTTGATTCTAGTTTCCTCTGAGAAACGAGAATTTGTTGGAGATCTTACTCTTGTTGTGCAGCAGAAGTGCTGTCGAAATTTTCACTACGCACAACAAGGGTTTGAAGAAAAGGTGAACATGTGTTGGATCTGAAGCTTGATCGATGGAGGAGATCATCAAGAAGTTGAACCCTGCGGAGGTGTCAACTTTGATGAAGTTGATGAAGTTGTCGGCTGATGAAAGCGCGACAAGACCATCGAAGAAGTTGGAGCTTCCGACCATCGATCTAAAGCTTGATGGACCGAGTACTTTCCTGAGTTGGTCACGACAGGTCAGATACACCCTTGCAGGGAGGAACCTGGAGGGTTACTTGACCGGAACTCATATGTTGGTGTATATCTGGCTTCTCAACTCGTTGGTCCCGACGATCGCCGCCACGGTGGATGGCATTGAGAAGGTGAAGGACGTCTGGGAGAAGTTGAGGAGAACATATGATGGGGTGAGGAATAACCTGAGGGTGTTCCAGATTAAAGGAGAGATCGACGCCACAGTCCAGGAAGAGAGGACTGTACAGGAATATGCTACAGAGCTGGAGCGCCTGTGGCTGGACTATGATCATTTTCCCCCCCGGGCTAGCTGCAAGGACCCGGCATGTAAAGAGCAGGAGGCCTTTCTACAGGAGAGGACTATGGTGTTTCTCAAGGGATTAACATCAGAGTTCGCTCAGTGAATTGCATTACTGCTAGCTCAGCCGAAAATTCCCACGCTTGAGGAGGCTGTCTCTGCTATGATCCAGGAGGAGACTCGCTTTCGGCTGCAGGCGGGGACAGGTGGACTTCCGGTGGTGAAGTCAGCATTGGCAGCCTCTAGCAATACTGGATCTAGGGGAGAGACTCGACAGTGCTACAACTGCGGTGCGGTGGGTCATCTAAGGCATGCTTGCACCAAACCACCCAAGGAAGGAGATTCGGGTGGACGTGGACAGTTCGGAGGTCGTGGTCGTGGCCGTGGGGGTCGACGAGGTGGAAGAGTAGCAGGGAATCAGGCGAATCTGACGGTAGCAGAAGAAGAAGAAGCTGAGGTGATCTTTACTGAGGAGGATCGTGCTCTCCTGGCAATACTCAGGAGAAAGCAGCAAGTAGCAGGGGATGGAGACTTGAGGAGTGGGACTGAGGAGGCATCCACTTCGTTCTTCGCCAGAGGCAATACTGCTACCTATGCTCATCCGACCAAAGGTACTGATGACATACATGCTCTTGCTTCTATGTCTCCCAACAGATCATCAGAATGGATAGTCGACTCCGGTGCGTCTCGGCATGTGACAGGTAATGCTAGTGAGTTCTCATCATATACTCACTTAGCATCACCTGATAGTATTCAAACAGCTGATGGTACATTTCAGCCGGTAGTTGGTAAGGGTACAGTCGATTGTACTGGTTCTGTAACTTTGTCCAATGTTTTGCATGCTCCTTCATTTCCAGTCAATTTTTTGTCCATTAGTTCTATCATCCTCCAACTAAAATGCGTTATTTCTTTTGATATTCCCAATGTGATTTTTCAGGAGAAGGGGACAGGACGGAGACTTGGGACTGGCACATGACGTAGTGGACTGTGGTATCTGGATCGTGAAGGGCTGGATTCAGCATTGGTGTCAATAGTAGAGGAAACAGGAGTAGGATCTAATATGAGTACCGAGAATGAGTTAATGCTTCATCACCAGCGTTTGGGACACTCATCATTTGGTGTTTTAAGTAGATTGTATCCTTCTTTATTTAAAAAAGCAAATAAACAGAAACTTGTGTGTGATGCATGTGAGTTTGGAAAGCTTACTAGAAGCTCTTATGTTAGTTCAGGTCATAGAAGTTCGCGTGTATTTGACTTGATACATTCAGATGTTTGGGGGCCTTGTTCCACAAGTTCTATGAATGAATACAAGTATTTTGTTACATTTATTGATTGTTTCTCTCGTGTGACTTGGTTATACTTGATGAAGAATAAGAGTGAAGTGTTTGGGTGCTTTCAAAACTTTCATAGGAATGTTCAGACTCAATACGGAGCAGTGGTGAAGATATTGAGGTCGGATAATGGGACAGAGTATACCAACAGAGCGTTTGAAGAATATTTGTCAGCTCAGGGAATACATCACCAGACGACCTGTCCATACACACCAGCTCAGAATGGGGTAGCGGAAAGGAAGAACAGACATCTTTTAGAGGTTGCTAGAAGCATGATGATCTCTATGAATGTCCCAGAAACATTGTGGGGGCAAGCAGTGTTGACTGCAGCAGCGCTGATCAACAGAATGCCCTCGAGAGTGCTGGATTGGAAGTCTCCGTGTGAGACATTAAAGGAAGATAATGGTGGGATTCTTCCACTCAAAGTGTTTGGATGTGTGTGCTTTGTGAAGAACAACAGGCCATCTGTCGGGAAACTTGCCCCTAGAGCTGTGAAGTGCATCTTTGTGGGATATTCTGCTACTCAGAAGGGATATGTTTGTTGGAGCCCGGTGGAGAAAATGTTGTTTGTGAGCATGGACGTGCACTTCCGAAAACTCGAGCCATATTACACCCGAAAGGTAACTTCATCCGTTGGTAACTCGCCTAATACTGGAAGTATGAGGCGAGAGGAGGAGAATGGTGAGAGATTGGTAAATATGGAGAAATCAATGTCTGAGAATGGTGAGAGATCAGAAAAATCAATTTCTGTAACGATTCCTTGGGAAGGAGACTTGGTTGAGGAGGAGCAAGAGAATGAAGAAGAAGAGGAGAATGAGACAAGAGGTGTTAGACCAACGGCTCAGGGGGAACTACTTACCTATAGTAGGAAAGGGAAACAAATTACGGAAACAGTACCTACAGTGCCACTGGTGTCAAGTCCCTTGCCAACGCCTGTCCCGACTCCTGAGACACCTACACCACCACCAGATTCCTCTCAAGGTGATTCCATTCCTCTTCCTACTCATCCCACACCAATAACTGTACGGAGGACTACTCGCAGTAATGCGGGAAATCCTCCCGATAGATATGGTTGGGATCTTGCTCAGTTTGTATCATATTCTAACATCCACCCTGCACATGGAGCATTCATTGCATCACTGGACTCTGTTACTATACCTAACAATTGGCAGATTGCAAAGGACCAGAAATGGAAAGCTGCTATGCACGAAGAGCTAAGGGCCCTTAAGAAGAACCGTACTTGGGAGTTAGTAAAACTACCAAAAAGGAAGAGAGCAGTTGGATGCAAGTGGGTCTTCACTGTGAAGCAGAATCCAGATGGACAGGTTGAGCGCTACAAAGCTCGTCTGGTGGCAAAAAGATATAGTCAGACATATGGCATCGACTACGATGAGACTTTTGCACCGGTGGCAAAGATGAGCACTGTTCGGACCTTAATCTCTCTGGCAGTAAATGGTGGATGGAAGCTACACTAACTAGATGTGAAAAACACATTTCTTCATGGAGATCTAGTGAATGAGGTATACATGGAGATACCACCAGGATTCGGTACAGATCAGACAGTGGGAAAGGTCTACAGATTGAAGAAGTCTCTCTATGGGCTAAAGCAGTCTCCTCGTGCTTGGTTTGATAGATTCAGGAGAGCTATGATTGGTATGGGGTACCAGCAGATCAGCGTCGATCATACCGTGTTCTTTCGAAGAAGTGGATGTCACATCACCTTGCTTGCAGTATATGTGGATGATATGATTATTACAGGGGATGATGAGAAGGAGATTGCCCAACTCAAAGTGAGACTGAGTAAGGACTTCGAGGTGAAAGATCTTGGCTTGCTTCGATACTTTCTTGGAATAGAGATAGCTTGAGGAGCGGAGGGGATCGTCCTATCCCAGAGAAAGTATGCACTGGATCTTCTCAAAGAAACAGGAATGTTAGGATGCAAACCTGCAACTACACCGATCGACCAGAAGTTTAAGCTGGGTGCTGAAGCTGGAGAACCAGTTGATCGTGACAGATACCAAAGGCTGGTGGGCAGGTTGATCTATCTGTGTCACACACGCCTCGATATCTCTTTTGCAATGAGCGTGGTGAGTCGCTACATGCATGATCCAAGGAAGGGTCATATGGACGCAGTGTACCAGATTCTAAGGTATTTGAAGAATGCCCCCGGAAAAGGGCTAATCTTCAGGAAGAATGAACACATGAGCATTAAGGGCTATTGTGACTCTGATTGGGCTAGCTGTGCTGATGACAGGAGGTCCACCTCAGGATACTGCATCTTTATAGGAGGCAACTTAGTCTCGTGGAAGAGCAAGAAGCAGTCGGTGGTGGCGAGATCGACAGCTGAGGCAGAGTATAGAGCTATGGCCTTAGGAGTTGCTGAGTTGCTATGGTTGAAGAGTATGCTGGTGGAGCTGAAGCTGGATCAAGGAGCTAAGATGAAGTTGTGGTGTGACAACAAGTCAGCCATCAGTATCGCCAACAACCCAGTGCAACATGATAGAACCAAACACATCGAGATCGATAGGTTCTTCATCAAAGAGAAGTTGGATAGTGGACTATTGGAGCTAAGTCATGTTTCGACTAAGGACCAGGCAGCGGATTGTCTGACTAAAGGACTTAGCTCAGTAGATATGATTAGAGGATATGACAAGATGGGCTTAGTAGATATCTTTCGCCCATATTGAGGAGTGTTGACATATTAGTATTAGTTAGGGACTTATTTGTAAGTTGTGTAGGGGCCTATATAAAGCCCAAGAGATCTCATAATGAATTAAGGGTTTTCAATTCAACTATAGTGAAACCAAATCCCTTTACATTGAAATCCAGATTGAAGTTTCCACTTCTTCCACAAGACTTCACAATAGATAGCTGACTACTTCTTTCCATCTGAATCTTGAACTTTTACCCCTGGCTGGAGCGGACAATGTTTTCGTGAAAGAAGCCTTGAAGCAGAAATGCCATTGATCCTGTGCTCTTAAATAAACTTTTCGGTGCGGTATGAACTTACATAAGCAATCTGAAGTGCAATCTTTCTGTTTGTAGAATGCACATTAGGCTTTGCTCATGTGAGTGAGAAACATTGTCTACTCATGTGAGTGAGAAACATCGTGTAGGCTATTGTTTCAGCCAAAAGTGTTCATGGCATTAAATTTTTTGGGGGTGCTTAAAGGTGACACTTTATTTGCTTAGTTTTCCATTTAATAACTTCCCCAAACAAAAATTCTGATATAAATGGACTAATTTCCAGTGTTTCATCTTTGTCAGCCGCTTGGCTTTGTCCTTCCACCTTGGTCACATGATTGTTGAGCTGTCCTGCGGGCTCTACTAGCTTATTAGCTTTGAGTAAATCTCTGCTTTGCAGCTCAAACAAGCTGTCCTGATCTTGAGATTACCCCCGGTTGGAACTTGAGTATTTTGGCATTATCCTCATTGCATTACGGTTAGGTTTCCTGAACAACTTCATAAAGAGTCAAGGCAGAACTGTTCATATTTTTCCCTCTCCTTTTCCGTTTGGGGTTTTATGGAGAAGAATAAATGGCTCAGTTATTGCTCCTTTGGGTATATTAGATTCTTGTTCTTGGTAATGATTGAAGAGTGAGCAACCCCTTTAAACATCTTTGGATCAAGTGGTAACTTTGGAGAAAATCAAGATGGAAACCTTATCTCTTACCTGACAAAGAAAAAGACCTGATTCAGACCAAAATCCTAAATGTATCTCAAAAGAGATTCTAACCCAATTTTGTTTTAATTTAAATCATTCCTGTACCTACAGATAGATATTGAAATTATCTAAAAATTTTCAAATTACAGTGGTCAATTGTTTAAACAATCTGGATAACTAACTCTATCTGTCAATCACATTAATGACTTCCACATACACTCGCTCATGAGTCTATATTTAGAATCCAATTGGATGGTGAACATCTGGAATGATCCTTCAAATGTATTGTGAAGCTTTAAGTAAAGCTATGCAGGACAATCATTCTGTTAAATGAGATAGCAATTGATCTGGCAAGAAATGAAAGACAGTTAATTTGGATTCACAAGCTTGATGAGAGGCAAATGGTCTGAATATAAGAGATTGCACCGTAGTTGTTGCTGACTTGACTAAAGTGGCCTTCTAGTGGAATCTGATATCTTATATTCAGATAAACCTCTCATCATTGATCCCCCAATAAACTTTCGCTTAACTCTTGCAAAACTTGAATACTATTTGGGAATGGAGCTCAATTATCATGCCTAACATTTAGTTATTTCCTTCCACTAACCAGTGTATCCATCTATTTGTTTCTCCAACCAAATTCTGCAGATTCCGTGATGTGATGCAGCCTCAGAGAAATTTCTTAAGAGGAGCTTTGACTCTGATTTATCTAGGAGGGCAGGTTGAAATCAATAGCGAAAAAACTTTGCTTGAATTTATGTTCTACTCATTCTTCCTATGCTTACATAAACTTCAGAGTGTCACCATCATATCAATGAAGCTTGTCAGATATGAATTATAATGCTGCTTTTTTCCTGCACAAGGTATTTAATTTCCATTTCCAATCCTATCCATGGAGGTTGCAGATTATCATGAGATAAGTTTTAATGGTACGCTTTGAACATCTGGCTTAACTGAACAAGGATGACAATATTGGGGAACATTCACAAGAAGGGCATTCTATTGCATAGTTATTCTTTCTAAATTTAGCTAATTCATGTTTTCATACTAGTTTAAACAATGAGAAAATAGATTGATGCTTACTGTATTTATGAAATATATGATCAACATGGTCCAGAATAAGTCTAATTTTCTCATTTTAACTTGCCTTATTCAAATTTAATTTGGGAATCTTATTTGAGACTTAAGTACTTATTACTCTACGCAGACTTTGAAGAACTTGTTCTGGTTTAGTCTGATCCAGATTTTTCTGTGTATCAGGACAATATGAGGGAGATTCAGCTGGGCGCACACACAGTTCAGTCTCATGGTGTTAAAGTAGCAAAGTCTCACAAACATGATTGGGTTATTCTCATCTTCCTTGGAGTAATGGTGATAATCTTAAATCTAATCCATCCTTTTCACCGCTTTGTCAGTAAGGATATGATGACTGATCTGAGATATCCTCTCAAAAGTATTAGTGTCCCTGTGTGGGCTGTTCCGGTATGTTTTCAGCTGTTCTTTTGGTCATCATCAGTTAAGAATTGTGGTGTTTTCAGTGTTAATTTTTTTGATGCTATCAGATGATTACAGTATTATTGCCTATTGCCATATTTGTTGCCTTCTATTTTCGTAGGAGAGATGTTTACGATCTTCATCATGCTATACTAGGTATTCCTAGTGTCTTATCTTCTTTTCTTTTTATATGTTATTTTGTCACTGTTGTTGACATGTTGACATAAAAATGCCTGGAAACTAGGTATCTTGTTCTCTGTGCTTATAACTGGAGTCTTAACTGATGCAATCAAAGATGCAGTTGGACATCCTCGGCCTGACTTTTTCTGGCGATGTTTTCCTGAGGGGAAAGAGGTTTGTGCATCATGATCTCTCTCTCTCTCTCTCTCTCTCTCTCTCTCTCTCTCTCTCTCTCTTTCTTCTCTCAACACGTGTTACTGTAGGTCCATTCATCTTTCCTTTATTTTTAACATGACAATGAGGAATATTCTGCTGTATGTCTGTCCAGGTGTATGATAAAGTAACTGGAAATGTTATCTGTAATGGAGCTAAAAATGTCATAAGGGAAGGTTACAAGAGTTTTCCTAGTGGTCATACGTCATGTAAGCAATATAATATCTTCTGTATTTTGACTCATTATTCATAAGGAATGCAATGTGATTATTTATATTTGGTAACTTTTAATGTAGTGGGAGATGGGAATAACTCAATTAGCATGATTTTGGTGTTCTAAATGATTTAGAAGAAAATGACCCTCAAATATGGTGAGGGCTTCATGTTCAGCCTTCTATATCTTTAGAAGTCAATTTATTGGTGGAAATGATATATAAAGAGTAGCCCAGCAAATCATTTTTAGACAAATTAAATTGGAGGCATGTGTACCCTTCACTTTAATCCAGTTAGTGGTCTTATCATCAAATTGAAATTCCGTTAGCCATTTTGAGTTTTAACTACTGAGTCCTTAGTGTTTGCCCTTCACAAATTGGTTCTGAGAGTTCCTACCCGCGTTGACAAGGCAAGTTCACTGAAAATTATACTTAAAATATTAGGATCTATATGATACAGCCCTTCACTAATACCACTGTATTTCTCTTGTTCTATAATATTATATATGAAATAAAAGTTTAATAGAATATGATTTTTTTTTTCCTCATGCAGGGTCTTTCGCAGGCCTTGGCTTTCTTACATTGTATTTGTCTGGGAAAATCAGAGTGTTTGACCGTCGGGGCCATGTGGCAAAGCTTTGCATTGTTTTCCTCCCATTACTTATTGCATGTATGATTGGAATTTCACAAGTGGATGACTATTGGCATCATTGGCAGGATGTCTTTGCTGGTGGTCTTCTAGGTCTGTGTTGTTTGAAATTGATCGTCATCCTATAACGCACTTAAACTTCAAGAACATGACCAATTAAATTTCTAGTTCTCAGTGCAAATGTAATTTGTTAGGATATAATGTTGCAGGCAGCGTAATGGCTACATTCTGCTATCTACAGTTCTTCCCTGCCCCTTATCATGCTGAAGGTACCATGTCATACATTATTATTCCAAAACTTCCATAGTAATTATATGATAATTTCAGGGTATTATAAAACTTGGCAGCTTTTACTTATTTTTCTAAGTCTAAATAGCTGTGTCTCATATTACCAGTATGTACATGAACTGGCACAGACAGATGTTCCTTCTCTTCCACCCTGTCCAAAATCCAAACACACGACCACACGCATGCATGAACACATTTTTTATGTATGAGCTAGCACACATAAGTGCGCAATATGATGATCTTCTTCATGATTTTTCATGTGCCAAAGCATGCAGGTGTGATCTTATGCTAAGAACTAAGAAGTTCCATTTTTGGTATTTAGTGTTGTGCTGCATTTCTGTTTCTCCCATGTTAGCTAGAAAGGAAGGCACTTGATCGTCCTGCATATCTTGGTGATAATTGCCTTTGTTTCAACTTGCTTTTCCTTTTAATTAACAATAAACCTACGTGAGGTTGGCATCTGTTCAACCTTTTAAAATGATTGTTTGCTTTTTTTCTCCTGGACTGAACCGTTTAGAAAGAATGCTGTAGCTACAGTTACATATCTTTTCATTTCATATATGGTGCAATCTGTGTCACAGTTACCAAGAGGGATTTGTTAGGTTAGGGAGAGATAATACTAGCAGTACAGAAGTTCACCATCTAAGTGATCTTGGTGATGTTTATTACAGATATCTTAACCAGATAAGTGTGTAACTTACAGAGAATGACTAAGGTGGAACCTTAGTGAACTATCAATAGCAAGAGGGATAAAGATGTTGCTGTTTCTTTCTACCTTTATGATCAGGGAAACTTGACCTTGTGATTCTTGTTCGAAGTTGAAAACTTTACTTTGAAACTGGGTTTACAGTTCTGTCTCATGACTTGTCAACCAAGAAGAGAGTTGACACCTCATCCCAAACTTTATAGTATGCAAAAAATTGATCAATCATACTTGTATATAATTAATCATACTTATATTGTAATAATTATATTTAGATATTTATTTTTTCAAGTCTTATATTAGTTAGATAATATCCAAAAAATTCTAGTTGCGGGTACCGATGTCGTTTTGTAATAATTATACCAATCACTTCTAGTATCATGACTTGATCAAAATTCAAGAAGAAACTTTGATTTTCGTTCTAGTCGCGGGTACCGGCGTCCTTTTGGAAATTACACAAATTATTAAACAAAACAACTAAGGGTTCATAAAATTGAACTGTTGCACCATATAATATTATATTTCAATGCTTTTCAACTTATCATGAAACTTTGTTGAAGAATGATTCAAAGTTGACTTTGTCTTTAGTTGTTATTTTGTTAGTGGAGTAGTGGCTAATAAATCTGAAATTAGTTTAGATTTTTATGGTGATTAAGTTGTTTTGTAAGCCTATATAAAGGCACTTTTAGTTGATGAATAATATAGCAAAAATTATCTCCTCATCTACTCTCTAATTTCCAACATGGTATCAGAGCTCCAGTTTTTTTGGGTTTGTGAGGATTTAAAAAAAATAGAGTGATCAACCTTTTTTTAATGGCATCCAACAATTCTTCACTTCCATACCCCATCCTCAATGGAGACAATTATCAATCTTGGGCTATCAAGATGAAATCCCATTTGAAAGCTTTGAGTTTATGGGAAGTTGTTGAGAGTAACTATGAGCCAACCCCTCTTCCACAAAATCCAACCCTAAAACAAATCAAGAAGCACGACGAAGAAAAAGCAAAGAAGCCAAAAGCCCTCTCTTGTATTCATTCGGCCATGTCGGACGGAATCTTCACAAGTATAATGACTTGTGAATCACCTAAGGAGGCGTGGTAGGAAGAGTTCGAGGGCAACAATCAAACAAAATTGATACAAGTTCTTAATCTCAAAAGGGAATTTGAGATGCAAAAAATGAAGAAAGGTGAGACCATCAAAGTGTATGTCGGTAAGCTTATGGCTATTGTCAATCAAATTAGATTGCTTGGTGAAACTTTTTCAAATGAAAGAGTGGTTGATAAGATTTTAGTGACTGTTCCCGAAAGGTATGAGTCCAAAATTTCCTCACTTGAAGATTCTAAAGATCTATCCAAAATAACTCTAGTGGATTTAGTCAATACCCTCAGTGCCGTAGACCAAAGGAGAGCAATGAGGAATGAAGAAAATGGTGAAAAAAAATTGAAGAAGCCTTATTAGCCAAGACTTCATCTTCAAAAGGGAAAGGCAAAGACGTCCAATGCAACAATTGTAAGAAACTTGGTCATGAGGAGAAGGATTGTTGGCATAAAGGAAAACATCAATATCACAAATGCAAGAGATTTGGTCATATCCAAAAATATTGTTGATATAATGGTGAAGAACAAGCAAACATGGCACAAGCAGTTGAAGAAGAAATTTTATTCTAGGAATCATGAAGAACAAGCAAACATGGCACAAGCAGTTGAAGAAGAAATTTTATTCTAGGAATCATGGTGAGATGTGCGCCATGGAGAGATTGAAGTTGAAGAAGAAATTTTATTCTAGGAATCATGGTGAGATGTGCGCCATGGAGAGATTGAGACAAGTGCCTGTGGAGAGAAGTGCTCCTTTAAGAAATGTTAGTGATTATGTGCGTCAACAAGATTGAGATGAGAAGTGCATCACAAAGTGAAGAGAAGTGCTTTATAAGATTATGGAGAGAAGTGCTCTATGAAGATTCAAAAAGAATGACAAGAAACTTTGAATCAAGGGGGAGTGTTGAAGAATGATTCAAAGTTGACTTTGTCTTTAGTTGACAAGAAACTTTGAATCAAGGGGGAGTGTTGAAGAATGATTCAAAGTTGACTTTGTCTTTAGTTGTTATTTTGTTAGTGGAGTAGTCAAGGGGGAGTGTTGAAGAATGATTCAAAGTTGACTTTGTCTTTAGTTGTTATTTTGTTAGTGGAGTAACGGCTAATAAATCTAAAATTAGTTTAGATTTTTATGGTGATTAAGTTGTTTTGTAAACCCATATAAAGGCACTTTTAGTTGATGAATAATATAGCAAAAATTATCTCCTCATCTACTCTCTAATTTCCAACAAACTTTATGAAAAAATAAGCTGCTAATAAATTTTAAGGGTGTTTCATATATGTATTTATTTATGTATACATACATATTGATAACATGTATACATGCAAATAATGAGTATCATTGTCAGATGATGAGATTTCTCATACATGAGTAACGCGGTTGAACCTCGCCCAAGAGTGTGTGTGTGTGTGTGTGTGTTTGTTTTTTGTTTGTGGGGTGGGGGATATGATAACCCATTAATCTTTTTTTTTTATCTGAGGGGATTTTCCCATATACAATAATGTGGCTTAATCCTAACTAAGTAAATGAAAGGAGAGATAAATCCTTATACACTTAACCACACTATTGTATATGAGAGAATCCGCTCGTATGACATATGCTACTCATGAACCTCATGTATATATGGTAATAATGGGTATGACGTGACAGCTAATTTTACTGAATGAGTTACCAATAGATAGATCAGTGGTTTAACCCATAATCACAATGGAGCATGTGGACCTCATCACTCTTATCTCTTGGTGGCTCATGTTAATAAATATCTAGTATAGCAGGTGACGTGCATCTGGCTAGCTTTTCAGCTCACTTTGCGAGGTGAGGTCTACCACCTCATTTAGCAAAATGAGTTATACCAAGAGACAGGAGTAGACTAGTCAACATACTCTGGTATGACTCGCAAGATGGGTCTTACTACTAGTCTATCTCTTGGTAGCTCGTTTAGCAAATAAGCTTCTACTCCAGCCCATTTTCATACACACAACCCACATGCTCATGCATGCGCATGCCCACCTGCACATATTCAGATTTTAGTATCCAACTTTACACACAACCCACATGCTCATGCATGCGCATGCCCACCTGCACATATTCAGATTTTAGTATCCAACTTTCTTCCTTTCAAGTGTGTTAAGCTGTCACTTTGTTGACATATATGGTAGGTCAGGTGAGGTGAAATGTTCTTTGTCCTCACATAAGTACACACTTTTAGGTGAGAATTTCAGCTATGTGTTGTAGCATAATTTTCAATGATCAATTTTCTTTAAGAGTTGGGTGACGCGAGGTGCACAAACCCAATATACAAACCTGATTCTGTTGATTCCTCTGTCTTTGAAGTTATCATTTCTTTTTGAGTATGAACTTAACAGATTTTATTCTAATATCTTTTGGATGAAAATTTTCAAGCTCGTTACACATAGCACCTAATATGTTTGTATAGTTTGTGGTTCTTCTGAACTGTTTTCTAATCAAAGAACTGAAAGAATTTTCAGATAAATTGATTGCTCCATTTCAACACAAAATGTGATAACATATACATAGCTCATTAGGATTCATGAAACCACAATTGCTTCGAATTTCTGCGTTAAACCTTTTTAAGGAATTTGTTAGTGACTTCCTTTCTTGTTGTAGAATTTGTTAGTGACTTCGTTTCTTGTTGTAGGTTGGGGACCTTATGCTTATTTCAGGATGCTGGAGGAGACACGAGGGCTGGCAAACCCAACACTTCCTGTGAACCAGCAAGCTGAAGAAAGTGTCACTATCAGATTGCCTGAGACGCACCATGCACGCACCATACTCGATGAAATGGAATCCGGAAGTGTGTAAATTAAAATGTGACTCAAAGATAAATTTTGACCTGAAATTTTTTTAATGTACTGGTTCTAATTCATGACCCCATGTTCATGGTTTCATCACATTCCACCAGATATATTAGGGTGATGGACAATGGTTCAGGATGTACCTCAAACAACATCTTAGGATAGTTACTTTTTGAAATTTTGTACGAAAAGTTTGTGGGTTCGACTATGCTTACTGAATTTTGTCAGCAGGTGTAATTGTCTATGGGTACTATTACAACTGAGCAACTATTCTGAGCAAGGTTTTCAAAGGCTCCATATGAAGCGAGATTAAATGCTTCAATTCTTTGGTTATCATGAGTTCTTAGATTGCATTACGATAGAAGTGGACCCATAGAAACTGTGCGATGGAGTATTCATGTGAAATTGTGCATATCGATTTTTGAATAGATGCGAGCATTTCATGGTTAACAATTGGAAGAAACAGGTTTATTGTGTTTTTCTACAATTGGAACTATGGGTGCTAAACTGTATCCGTATTCGAGAAAATATCTGTAACCGTATCCGTTAGGATACGAATATGGTTACTCAAATTTATAACCGATAGGATATGGTTATGGATATGGTTTTGTAGTGAAATATCTATATCCGTATCCGAAATATCCGAATACATATTAGTCATACTCTTACGATAGTTTCGATTCTTAGATTATGGATTTGTGGTTAATTTTGATGATCAAGATGTCTAATCTTAACTTTTCAATTATAATGGACATATTAACAAACTCTTTTGTATCACATGAACTATGTTTTTCTCAATACTATCTAGTTTTCTCATATCTGTTTTGTATCTGCATGCATATCCGTTTATATATCCGCATGTATATCCATAACCGTATCCTATTTTAGCGGATATGGTTATAAATTTTCTTACCGATGTATATCCGTATCTGAGATGGGTAAGCGGATACGGATATGATAAGCATCATATACGAGCCGTATCTGGACCGAATGCACCCCTAATTGGAACGCATGCATGCATGAGTAAATTTATAGATTGGATTCAATTGATTACGAACACAACGTAAGGTGTCAAGGTTGATCAATAATAAACAGAAGTGGTTTGTGTTTAAACCAGAGGCTGAACCTTAAACATGTGAATTCCAGGTGTCACATTTTGGGATCCGGTTAAAATTTGATCATTATGCTAGATTCATCTACTGGGGCTGGTTACCAACAAATAGAATAATGTAAGTTTGCTAGGGCATTATTCCATATGTTTGGATAAAGAACAAACTTTTAGTTCCTTATGCTTTAGGTGACAAGTTAGAGAAAGTGATTCATATTGATGTAATCCTCAAGGATCTTTCATATTGCACAGAGATATTAGAGGTCTATCAAATTACGAAACTATTGTTTGGGTGTATTTTTTATTCAAAAAGGAACTCTCTTTTTTTTTCTTAAGAGCTTATAACTAGATGAATTCACATGCATGCATCTGATAACAACCATTCACTACACTAGTAGTAGACAGTATAGGTATATTTTAGAAATACGGTAATTAAGCTCGGGTCCTAGGATTTCATGCCTGAAAACAGGAGGAAGTGTTTAGTGATTTCATATATTTACATTAGTGATGCACCAAAGCTATGAAAACGTTAAACTAGACTTTAGTCGTGTATTGATCAAAGATTGACGTTATTTTGATGAGTCAAGCTATGAATACTCAATGCTTACTCCGAGAACAGCAGTAGCAAAAATAATTCAGTGAGCAGCAACACATCGCACCATGACACAAGCACTACGTGCGTGTCTAAATTGACAGGTGGGGCCCACCACACCTATAACTTGATCTCATACCCTCAGTGGGTGCTGCTAATTGCATCATGAAGAGACTCATTGATCCCCCTCGATCTTCCTTCTTTCTTATAAAGAGAGCATCAAAGTCCAATAATGGCTCAACCTTTTCCCCTGTCTTTTCCCGTCTCAATCCAACGTGATATCTCACCATCTACTAAATGCGCCAAATTTAGGACAAATTTTGAAACCAAACTAATTTTGAAACTTATTTATAAAAAACAATCAATTTGCATCTTATTTATCAAAACCGACTCAGTTTTAGCCATCTAGTTGAAACTGGGTTGGTTTTGACGAAAAATTATCCGAAACTTCACGGGTCTTGAAGTCCCGTGAAGTTTTTTACATAACAAAACTTCACGGGACTTCAAGTCCTGTGAAGTACTGTGAAGTTTTGTTATGTAAAAAACTTCACCGGACTGCAAGTCCCCCGTAAAGTTTGGTATTTTTTTAGCCAAAACCGATCCAGTTTCAGCTAGATGGCTAAAACTGGATCAATTTTGACAAATAAGTTAAAGAATAGGTTGTTTTTTATAAATAAGTTTCAAAATGAGTTTGTTTTCAAAATTTGTCACCAAATTTAATACCCACTGTATGTTTTGAGGATATCGAGCCACTGTACAAGACATGGTCACTATCCAATTCCAATATTAACTTCATCCACTCATTTCACATCTTTGTCTGGAAAAATAATAATAATATCCAGCCAATTTTGCTGACAGATTGTTCTCACAGCAAACAGCTCCTCCCCTGAATTTCCACAAAAGGCCTCTAAGTTCTTAGTATTAGAAGAGGGGGAATCAAAGAGCTTAGTAACTAATTGTCATTATAAGAACTAATACCTTCTTCAATCATAATAGAAAATATCACATTTCTCTGTCCTCTTCATTTGGGTCTGCAGGGTTATCTCTCTCTCTCTCTCTCTCCTCCCTTTAGGTTTGAAGGTCAGTATTCATAGACCACTCTATTTATTTATTCATTTATTTTTAGTACGGTTTTTTGTTGTTCATGTAGTAAATTGAATCTTTGAGCTTAATTAAGAGAAGCCCTATGCACTCCATGCTTCTGGACTCCTATACTAATTTCCTGAAAGTCCTTCTCTAAACAAAAAAGAAATAAAATAATAAATGAGTTAAAATGAGTGTCCTGAGAGACCCATTTTTCTTTTTTCCTTTTTTTTTTTTCCTATGGAGGGCTAAATCATGTTTATCATCTTTCTACTGCACCATAGTTAAATAAACTGATACGGTTCCTTCCAGATCTCTAGCTAGCTATTTATCGTGAAGCAAATACGCTTAAAATTGATTCTCATGGCCATGTCTGACGAGTACCAGACGCCGACACTGCGCGCAAAATGTGAAAGACACATTGAAGCTGCTCAATGTTAAAAAAAAAACAAAATACGGAAGTTATTCCGGTTAATTAAGAAAAAGTCCAAGATAATTATGTTGGACAAAACTTTAAGCTATATGTTGCTTTTAGATGCATATAAATTGTATACTTGAGTAGAAGCTAAACATCTTGGAATCATGTGGGAGACATCAGTAACTCATCTGCTATAGACATTGTGGTTGGTCTTTAAGATACTTCCATTTTTTTTTTTTTTTTGACTAATTGATCATAGGCCACTGACATAAAATCCTTGAGGATTTACATAGATATTGTCTAAATCTAAATAGATCACTATACATTTTGATTTGATTATACAATCGAAACAAATATCAGACATATCTTTTTTTTTCGTTTTTTTTTTTTTTTTTTTGGG